CAACAGTGTAAAAGTATTCCTTTTTTTCCACATATTTTCCAACATTTATTATTGTTTATATTCTTGATGGCTGCCATTCTAACTGGAGATGTAGTTTTGATTTGCATTTCTATCGTTGCTAATSATGTTGAAGAATTTTTCATGGATTTGTTGGCCATTTGCACTTTTTCTTTAGAGAAGTGTCTATCTAGTTATTTGCTCATTTTTAAAATTGGGTTATTTGGGCTTTTGGTGGTAATTTTTTTTTGAGTTTTTTATATACTCTGGATATTAATCCTCTGTCCAAAGAGTAGCTAGCAAAGATTTTCTCCCACTTTGAGGTTCTCTCTTCACATTCTGAATTGTTTCCTTTGCTGTGCAGAAGCTTTTTAATTTGATGCCATCCCATTTATTAATTCTCAGTATTCATRAAATAAATTTTATTCAGGGAAACATAAATGACTTTGGTATTCCTCTGGAACCCTATCATCCCTTTACAAGGTGGAAGTACASAAAATCAGGGAACAGAGGATTATGTAGTAATTCATATCATCTGAATCCATCTCAAGAAATCTTTGGACTTCATCCTAAATGTAAAGAGGACTTCTTAAGAATGTCATATAAAGGCTGGGGTTGTGGGTCAGTAGTATAGTGCTTTCCTAGCACATGTGATGCACTGGGCTCGATTCTCAGCACCACATAAAAAAATAAAGATATTGTGTCTATCTATAACTAAAGATTTAAAAAAAAAAAAAAAAAAGAAGAAGGTCACGGGGCTGGAGATGTGGCTCAAGCGGTAGCGCGCTCGCCTGCCATGCGTGCGGCCAGGATTCGATCTTCAGCACCACATACAAACAAAGATGTTGTGTTCGCCGAGAACTAAAAAATAAATATTAAAATTATAAAAAAAGAAGGTCACATATAAGCTTTTCTTACTCAAAATATGGTATAGGGCCCAGCACCAGCAGCCTCACCATCAACTGGGAGCTTGTTAGAAATTCAGACTCTTAAACCACAGCCCAGATCTACTAAAGCAGAATCTCCACTTAACCACACTCCCTGCATGATTCACATGCATTACGAATATTTGAGAAACACTGATTTAAATAACCCCCTTTGCATTTCTTTATGAGGAAATGTGTTTTAAGATAAGATAAAGCTAAACACAATATTGTATTTAGGAACAGAGTGCACAATCCTTGGTCCAGCTATGCTTTACTTTGCTTTTGTGTTCTTTACAAGGAAAAAGTATGCAAGGAGGAGGTGAAGGGAATGGAAGGGTGATAGAATGAAAGGGAAAGGCAGGATGAGCATGACATGCCCAGGACTTGGTAGGATTAACTTAGAACTTAGCATCCTGGGTAACTGTGATTCATGGAATGTGCCTCTTGGCCCCAGTAAGTTATTGTGGAAGAACTGTCAGAAGGCTGAGAGTCAAAAGAACAGTTCCCATCCCCTCCCATGAAATAGGGCTTGTGGGTGATGGATATGGAAGATATGCTTAAAGGATTTTGAATGTCTTCACCATAAAGGACTGGTAAATGTTTCAGGAGATAGATATGTTTGCCCTGATTTAAGCATTACTCAATGTATACATGTATTGAAACATAACATGGTAACCCACAAATATGTACAATTTTATGCTTTATGTATCAGTTAAAATAAATTTAAATGGGAGAGAGAGAGAGAGAGAGAGAGAGAGAGAGAGAGAGAGAGAGAGAGAGACGCTACACTGGAATTAACTGGTTCTCTTGTTTGCAGATTAGAGAGAACACTTAAAAGGCCACACTTCCCCATACAGCCAATAATCATGCAAGGTTTTGGCAATATAGACTGCATAAAAATTTGAGCAAAACCATCCTGAAAGGTGATTTTGGTCAAAAGACAGGCAAAGGATGGAGAGTTGACCTCAGCTGATCCAGCAACACAGGTTGGCAGCCCAGAGAAAGGYCACAGAACATGCCCTCAGGAAGCAATGAGGGGGCAGACCTGTTTGCCTGAACTCCAAAAACAATGACCAGGCCCATAGGGGAATGACCAGAGGTTCCTGCACTGCAGTTCAGAAGAAGATCATCCAGAAGAAACATGTAAGCCATGTAGCAAGAGGGGATTGGCCAAGAGTGGAGCATCACATGGGGACTGACTGGAGCAGGGAGAATGTGAATGGAAATCAGGGCAAAGGGCACTTCTTTCTTGCTGTATAGGAGAATTCTGGTGAGTATATTGGGGGTGATATGCCATCTACTAATCTGGCAATGTGAAAGTCTCAAATAAAACTACTTACATGTTTGAGTCCTTAATAGTATTTTCTAGGTTATCACTTTTGGTGCATTGGTGGTATTAAAAAAAAAATCACCTCCACCCAATGCCTGACACCCACTAAACTTCACTTAGGACTGTCATCTTTAGTTTCAAATGCAAGTGAAACAGGCTCTGCTTACTTGACAAGCAAGTCACACCTTTTCTGAAATAAAAAAATGTAMCACCACAGCCAAACCAAAGCCTCCCCACACTCAGCCCCCACCCCATGCTCACCTGTGCTGCTGTAGAAGGCTAGTTTAGTGGTGGTGTGGAATTCTTGAATGAGGAACTGGGAGAGTGAGATCCGCTCATCTGTCTTTAAGGAGTCATTGCCCTTTTTCCAGTAGAGCATGAGGTCATCTTCTGTATAGGCATCTGAAAAGATGGGAGCCAGCATCAGGCAGGAGGTATGGCAAGGCAGGTCTGCCTACCAGGCTACATGGAAACTGTGTCCTGATCTCCCATACAAATACAAATCTCTAGGATTGTGCTAAGATAATTTGAATAAACAAACTGCAGTATAAACAATGCAAAAAAAGGCAAAAAGACAAATATAATTCTCTCCAGTCTTCCAAAAGTCTTCAGAGAAAAATACTCAAGCTTAAGGCCTCCTGATTCCTGCAGAAGGGCTCACACCAATAATCCAGCCTACCCTTATAAGATTAAACCAAAAGAAATTGCTATTTTGTGGTCAGAAATGGCTAAATACTGGCATATTTTCACATGGTTCAGCCTCATAAACCAGGAGTGCTGATCCTTTCCTTCTTATCCTTTTTTGGGGGGGTGGGGGGAGGTGGGTACTGGGGACTGAATCCAAGAATGCTTTATTGCTGATGCTTTATTTCATCCTCAGTCTTTTTTATTTTTTGTTTTGACACAGGGCACACTAAATTGCTAAGGCTGGCCTTGAACTTGAGATCCTCCTGCCTTAGCCTCCAGAGTCACTGGGATTACAGGTGTGCCCAGCCCTATGTGTAAACCATTCTTGCTGGGTCTCCTGACACCATTTTAGTCCCATTTTCTAACCCTTGATCTGTGATCATAGATTTCTTGTGTTGGCTTAGCTTGACTCTAGTAGACAGTCATTCAATCAGACACTAATCTGTGAAGGTATTTTATGGATGTGGCTAGTATCTACCACCAGTGGATTTTAAGTAAAGAAGATTATCCTAGATAATCTGGGTGGGTCTGATCTAGTTATGTGAAAGGCCTTAAGAGTATAACTGAGGTTTTCTGAAAGAAGAACTTTGACCTGGACTGTGGCATCTGCTCCTGCTAAGAGTTCCCAACTTTCCCTGCAGACCTGGGAGAACAGAGCAGCCCCTATAATCCTGCGAGCCAATTCCTCACAATGCATCTCTTACCATATGTAATGGATTGGTTCTGTTTCTCTGGCAGGACCCTGACTGCTACAACCTTGAAGAAGCTACATTTACAGATGGAGGCAGAAGCTGCCTTGTATAGTGAGGGTAGGGGAAGCTCTGGAGCCAGCAAACTTGGTATTTCAGCCCAGCTTTGCCATTCATCTCTATGTCCAAGGCACAGGCCTTGTGCCATGAATGATGGAGATAACATTCTTGTAGGGATTTTGTGAGGGTTAAATGACAGCACGGAGATAAAGACACTGTGCACTTAGTAGCCACTAAAGGCTACTAAGGCCTGGCCCTTTTCCCACATTCAGTGCCTAACAGAGGGTCYATTTGTCCCAGCTATGTGTGGTGTCAACATCCCCACACTCCCAGGTTTCAGTTAATTACAGTCAGGAGCCACTTGATCCACCACCATAAGCCCAGATTTGGCTTACAAAGGGGCCCAAGATCAAAACAAGGCCACACTAGGACTTGGATGCTGCAGGGATTGCCAGTATTCAGGAGGAGTGTGCAAACTGGAGTGATGGAGGAATCCAGACTAAGCCCATCAGAAGGAGTGCTTTGGCAGAGAGAACAGAGCGGGAGAGTGGAGAGCAAGGCGTGTGGTGGCTAGCTTGGCTATCCTGCCTCAGCCTGGCTCTTCCCAGTGCCTGATTTGGATGGTTGTTTTATTGTGGTAAAACAAGAATAACATAAAATCCTCTTAACCATTTTTAAGTATACAGGTTAGTGACATTAAATATATTTATAACGTTGTGAAATCATCACCACTCAAACAGTTTCTCATCTTAAACTGAAACACTGCACCCATTAAACAATAGCTCTTTGTTTTCTCTCTCCCCCAAGATCCTCACAGTCACTATTCTACCTTCTATCTTTATTATTTTGACTACTCTAAGTACTCATAAAAGTATAATTGTACAGTATTTATCTTTTTGTGATGGACTTGTCTTATTTAGTAYGATATCCTCAAGTTCRGTACATGTTGTRGCATGTGTCAGAATTTCCTTGMTTTGTAATGCTGAATAATATTTCATTGCATGTATACAGCACATTTTCCTTGTCCATTCACCTATCACTGGACACATGGGTTRCTTCTACATTTTAGCTATTGTAAATAATACCTTTTCAAGGCTTTGCTTGCWTTTCTTTGGGTATATGCTGAGAAGTGGAATTGCTGGAACCTATGGTTATTTTATTTTTGATATTTTGAGGAATTGCTGAATTGTTCTCCACAGTAAGTTGCACCATTTTACATTCCTATCCCCAGTGCACAAGGGTTCCAATTGCTTCACATCTTCACCAACACTTTTTT